CCGCCGGGAGGCTCGGCCGTGCGGTGGTGGGGGTCGGGCGCCGGAATCGGCCCAAAATGTGCAAATCCTTGCGACCACTGCCTTAGACAATCAATTTTATTAATTAATAGTGATGTTTAATTATATTTTTATCTTTTTTATTTACCGAGTTTTGAACTTGGGATCTCAGGGTTATGAGTCTCACACCTTATCCGTTACGCCACTTATAATTGTCGATGGATACAGTTCTTATTGTCCATAAATGATACACTTAACGCAATTATATTGGGTTAACTTCTCTTCCGTGTTTATTTTTTTATTCCGACCCGTTTTTTATTAATTTGAATTTTAGAAAATAATAAATTTTTTTTTATCTTTATATTAAACGTCAAATAAACGTTAAATAAATGTTTTTTTAACATATTGTAAATAAATAAATAACGTAAAACAAACATTTAATATACGTCAAACAAACGTTTAACAAAATATTTCTTCGAAGCATTATTTCAAACGAAAACTTAATGTAAAACGAACGTTTAATAAAGGTCAAATATACGTTTAAAAATATTCCATTGTATCATTATTTCGAACGAAAAATTAATGTAAAACGAACATTTAATAAACGTTAAATAAACATTTAAAGAATCTTATTTTGAAAACGAATTTTAAAACGTAAAATTCATTACGAATAAACGTTTAAAAAACATTTAATAAACATTAAATAAATGTTATCCTGAAAACGAATCGTGAAATGTAAAATTAATGAAAAATAAACGTTTAAAAAATGTTTAGAAACCATTTCCTCTCCATTGCGACATAATAGTCCAACATGAAATAAATGTTTAGAAAATGTTTCTTCAAGCCATTACCTTAATAAACAATAAAATTAATGTAAAAACACATTTAATAAACGTTAAATAAGCATTTAAAAATATTTCTTCATAATACTGTTTCAAATGAGTAATTAATGTAAAACAAACAGTTAACTAACGTTAAATAAATGTTTAATAAGTGTTTCTTCCAAACATCATTTTAAACGAAAAATTAATGTAAAATAAACGTTTAATAAACGTTAAATAAACGTTTAAAAAATGTTTCTTCCAAATATATTAAACGAAAAATTAATGTGAAATTGACGTTTAATAAACATTTAAAAAACGTTATTTTGGAAATAAATCATAAAACGTAAAATTAATTACAAATAAACGTTTAAAAAACGTTTAAAAAATATTTCTTTCCCATTGGGTAATAAACGCTATCTATTGGTGTCACTACGAATTTATTGCTCTTGGATTGAAAACTATTTAATGGAAAATTCATTGTTAGGTTATGCATGTAATCGTTGTAAAAAAAGATTTTAGAATTTGGATGTCTTTCAGTTTGATTGAGACGAAATATAAAACTGTAAGGTGTGGAAATCGTAATATGAGATATCCAGGGTATTTCTGATATGAAATAACCTATGCTCCAATGTCATAGTTGCTAAAGTATAAATCTTATTGTACAATAATAAAAAGGACAATTGGAATGAACATCAAGTGCTTATTTCTGCAATGCCTGGTTCCAACTATCTGAAGTCAAGTCTGAAGTACAATGCATCGCATGCTCATTTTGCGCACGCACTAACTGTGTTTGTTTATATTTTACAAACACTAAGTTTTTAATTGCAATACTGATGCGTTTTATTATCGATTTCTCGGGGCATCTTATATTAGGAGCACAATTTTTTGACTTTGCGATTTGCTCATTTTTACATTTCTTGAATTTAAAAAAGAATAGAATTTGAACAAAATTTTACATAATACTATCCTAAAGCTTCTTAAATTCTCTCTGCAAAATAACCTATTATTTTATTTAATTCTGTCCATACAGTTCTAGCATTTATGCACCAAAATGCATCCTATATATATGCCTGCGTATGTTCATGCGCGTGCGTATATAATGGTGATGATAATGGAAATTTTATAAAAATTTGCATAATAACAATAAAAATAATAATAAATTATAATTTTGTAAAATTTTACAGTAAAGATGTACGACTACCCGTTCAATTGCAACGAGCTATGGCGGCGGAAGCAGAAGCTGCACGTGAAGCACGCGCTAAAGTAAGGCACAATGTATAATATAAGAAAAAAAAGATAATTATGTATATTAAGAGCGATCTCACAGATTTCAATGATCTTGACGTTGTCAAGGCCATGACCTCAAGTCACCTCCAACAGATTTTAGTCGTCGCTCGTTATACGCTAGTTATGAACAAAATAAGTTTAAAAAGTAATATCTTTTTTATACTTATTCTACTATATAAAACAAAAATTCTATTTTAAAATAAATTTCTCTCCTGACTATGGACACACGACTTTCCATGAGAAATAAGTTCAATCCTATTTCCTCTCGCCAAGGGGCGCATGACTTTCCACGCAAGTGAGTTTCACCTTATCACCCCCTTGGTCAAAGGGCGATCGAGTTTCATCCCACCTCTCCGTTTGCCAAAGGGCGTCCGACTTTCTACACGAAGCGAGTTCTGGGCAGAGGGGTAGATGAAGTGGACCTCACTTTGCGTAGAAAGTCGGACGCCGCTTGACAGGGGGGAAGTGGAGTGAAACTCGTTTCGCGTGAAAAGTCAGACGTCTCTTCGCAGGGAAGAGGGAGGGATGGAGTGGACTACGTTTCGCGCGGAAAGCTTATGTCTACTGCAAACTGGATGCAATGAACGATAGACGACGAACAATATCCAATGAAGGTTCTACTTTTTCTCGGGTGGCACCCAGTTGGACACGGCTCAATTGGACACGAGCCACTCACAGCGCTTGAGACTACAAAGCTCCTAAGCACCGGTCGCTGTGATTGGTGGTGTCTAATCGAGCCGTGGTCAATCGGGATCACCCCCTATTTCTCATATGACGACGTAAAGCAAAGCTCTCATTGGATATCGCTCGTCTCTCAGCGCTCATCGCATCCAATGTGCAGTAGGCATTACGTTTTTAAACAGAGTGGGAGGGAAGTGTACTTCGTTTCGCTTGGAAAATCCTGTGCCCCTAAGCGGATAGAAGGAGTAGTGAATCTCGCTTAGCGTGAAAAGTTAAGCATTTAAACATCTAAACAGAGAGAGATATAGGCAGGGAATGGAAGTAACTCGTTACTTGTAACGAAGTTACAGTTACAAGTTACTTTTTTGGTAACTTTACTAGTAACTGCG